CCCACACACCCACACCCACACACCCACACCCACACACCCACACCCACACACCCACACCCACACACCCACACCCACACACCCACACCCACACACCCACACCCACACACCCACACCCACACACACCCTAAATCAATCACTTCAATTGTTTTGATTATATGAACATCATTTGTTTGTATTTGTTTTACTGAAAATGTGGCTATGTGTGCAATATAACAACGAAAGAGAAAGTACGAATTTGCTCTCAGTCTCTGATGACTTTTATAAGTTTCTTCCGATTTAACATGTAAAATTTCCTGCGGTTTTATTACAATTCCAAATTTATCTCCCGAATTCGTTACACAAAGATGAAACGTGTCGTAAGTAGTTTGAAATTATCTCTTATACCATTCTCTTGTAAGAAAGAAACATTACTTCTCATATTTATCTACGAAGTAATTACAAGCACACCATCAATTCATAGACATGAGTCTGTGTTGTGAAAATTTGAGTTAAAAAATCAGTTTTAAGGTGTTTTAATTCTAAATCGTTGGATACGATGATTGTTTGAATCGGCTACATAAAGGTTGCCTTCGTGATCGAATGCTAAACTTTCAGGGCAGGTTAGTTGATGTGCATCATCTCCTGGACGGAAACGATCGCCGGCGATAATATCGGGTTCTTCATTTTTGCGCCAGCGCATGATTCGATGGTTCCAATGATCGGCTACATAAATCGTACCTAGCTGATCGACCAGTACTCCTGCAGGATAATCCAATTGTCTTTGATTTTTTCCTCTTCCTTGACCACCAGCTACAATAATGCCTTCTTTTGCATTTCTCTTCCATTCCATTACACGATTATTCCAGGAATCCGATACATAGACGGAGTAATCATCTCCAATACAAATATATGTCGGATGATTGAGTTGTTTGAGACGACTACCTTGTCCATTGCCACCAGCTACTACTTTTCCATGCTTGGCACCCATTCTATATCGTCTCACTTCGTGCTGTTCAGTATCAGAAATGTAAAGATCTCCACGAATATCAGTTCCTACTCCGAAACATGCAATATTCTCTATGAGTGTTCTTGCACATCGCGTACTTCTAGGAAACCATTGTAATACTTGTCGATTATGAGAATCACAAATGATAAAACTTTTCGTTTGGGGGTGGCAAATTACATTTGACGGCTTAGCCAGTAGATCAGGTCCATACCCTTCCATATTTTTACCTGCTATTCGTTGAATTACTCCAGTACGTAAATTATATTTCATAATACGATGATTTGAACTATCAGCAATCAAAAGTGATTGGTTTTCCGATATTGTAATACCCTGTGGAGAACGAAGTCGATCCACTGTAGAACCTGAATGACAATCACCAACTACAGTGTGAGCATTAGACCTCCATACGGCGTTTAATGGAATATCCGGTAAAGCTGCAATGAGAAAGTAATAGAGGATTGTCAATTACTTCAAACAAATTTTATAGATAATATGATTTTTAGTAGGAAAAACCTATTATTTCATCCAACCATGATATATATTTTCGTCAGATAAAAACCGTTTTAGTTATACTCTATACGTACAGCTGGCCACAAAATTGAAGTAGACAGGTTTATCATCTGGCAGTTCATTGTTAGAAAATGGTTGTAATCGTTGATGTCTTTTCCGACAAACACTTTTTGCTATATCCTGAAAAACTTCATCAACAGGTAGATTTTTCTTTTGAATATGTAACAAAAAATATTTGTTGAACAAATTATCCTTCGCTGTTTTATTGGGTGCGCATGAAAACTGGATAAATACTTTTCTTCCATCAGGTGCATTCATTCTATGCAAACCTTTATTTTGAACCATAGCTAAACAAATGCATACATATATTCGAGAAAGTCGTATCAATGATTTCACTTACGAGCTCTGCCTGTTACTCGGTTCAGTGTATACGGTCTGCAACAATCCAAAACTAGTATCAATGCACAATCTGGTTTGTTTTCGATTAATCTATCGAGGATTCGTTTCACATTCACACCAAACACTTCAATATCTTCATCATTGTTTATTGTAGTATCATTCGTAGGTATGAGATAATTGTTTCCATCAAATTGTAGAGCATGACCCGAGAAATAACACAACACCATATCACCATTATTGAATGTTTTTGAAAAATCTATCACTTGTTTCATCATATTATCTTCTTCAGCAAGATTCCTGTGTTTCGTAACAGTGAACTTAATTTTGTGAAGTATATGAACTAGTCTTGTTACATTGTTGATGGAGTCAATGAGTTGATTTTCTGGTCGAGAATAGGTATCGTTTTCGATGATCAGAGCGTGCTTTTGAATATTGGCAGGTGAATCTAAAAACATTATTAACAAGTGCAATGAGAGATCATACCTTGAAATATAGGTTTTTCTCAATATGGAAATGATTGAACATTATGCACTGTAAAGCAATTTTCGATCAGACACTTTTCTTTGACTTTACAAACACGTTCTAATCACTCTGTTGTGTTGATCACAAAAATCAAGTTTATAGGATTGGAAGGTGAGGGCTAAGTTTATTTTGTGATTTCCCTATTTAAGCATAGTTTCGATTGACTTCAGTTTCATTCTCTCTTTCGCTTTGTAAATGAAGCGATAAAGGATGATTTTGTTCCTTTACATACATATCTCCTTTTCTACTTGATTCAGATAAACCGGATTAGCATCTGATAGGCCATCTTGAAAAAATGGTCGTTGTTTACGACGTCTGCGGTGGTAAACATCTTCTATTATATCTCGAAAAAGATCAGTAACATGAATATTTTGTCGATCAATATTTCGTAGTAGATGTTTGAAAAATAGATCATCATCGATTGTTTCGTCAACAGAGCAGGCGAACTGGACGAACGTGTGAGGATGTCTCGCCATTTTAACTAAACCATTTCCCTTGATCATCGCTACAAATATGAGAGCACTTTTCAAGAGAGCGATTAACAGTAGTGCGTAGTTACTTACAATTTGGTGTTACTTCACTTTTTAGTTCGTATGGCCTACAGCAATCCAAAATAAACAGAGTGGCACTCGGCTGTTTCTCTTCCACTAATCGTTCGAGTATTCGTTCAGCATCGTTACCATTATCTTCAAAATCAACTTCATTTTCATCATCTTCAACAGGTAGCAGATAGTTTTTGTCATCGACGTGACTGCTTAAACCGAAAAAGTAAACAAATATTAAGTCATTCTTTTGAATATTCTTTTGAAAATCTTGTACTGTGCTCATAATATAGTCTTTTATATTCGTCTCCATCGTAACTTCGAATTTGATATTCGTAAGTTGGGCGTAGAGTTTCTCGGCATTATCCTTGAAATGATTCAGAGAGCGATTCAATCGTTTATATTTGTAGTTGCAAATAATTAGCGCTCGCTTTCCACGATTTGATGCGTGCCGAGCGGAAGTTGCCATATAGAATTTAAATCTCAAATCTAAAATAAAATCGTCTTCATTTTTCATAAATTATAGAAGAGCGTAGGGTTTGAGGGAAGCTTGAGGATGATCCAGATTCTTATTTATATTGTCAATGAGAAAATGTACAGATGTCTCTAACGATCCGTCGCCTTTGTCACACACCGTTGCTAAGATGTTTGTCACGTCTGTGGATGGAGGATAGCGGATCCAAATCTCTACCCTTAAACTTCAACACTCTCTTTCTGATCGTTTCTCTCAAAAGAAAGAAAGGTTTGGAGCTCAAAAGATATCAATAAACATCTCGAAAAGAAGAGTTCTAACCAAAATTCTATCTTTCTTCTCACAACCAGAGAAGTTCCGAGATAGGCTTACTCAATCACCTGATTACGTTATTAGAAGAGAAGAGGAGCTGCGCTTAGCAACATAGTAGCTTCGTCTATGTTTTCTATTTTTGCTCTGGAGTGGGTTATAAGCAGATAGCGAATATGACTCATTCTTTAGAATAGTATGAAAAATCGACGAAACGATTTGAAGAGAAATATTGCCAGAAAATTTTACCTACAAGAGTTATCTTAAAAGAATTCGGTTACCAATTAAACCGTAGAATTTCAAAAGTATATACAAATTTCTTTCATTTCGATTGCAGTCTATTTAAAAAATCGGTCGTGAGCAAAAGAAAATAAAGAAAAACGACGCTACGAAAAATGTTATTAAAAAAAAATGTTATTGAAACAAAAATGTTATTAAAACAAAAATGTTATTAAAAAAAACATGTTTTATCGCATCATCAAATAGTTTCAAAAGAAAAGAGTCAGTCAAAGAAAAATTTCCAACCTGCCACTTTTGAAAACAATTACTTCTCTATGCGCCAAGCGTCTGTCTTTTACCCAAGACGGTCGAAATCAGCCGGAAAGCTCAGAAAAAATCACCTTTCCCAGCAGGAAGATTCAAGAAATCGACGGAAGTGAAAGCAGTATTCCGTGCGTGAATTACAAAGTAATCCAAGAAGTGTAAATTCTAAAAATAATTTAGTTTTTATTAGTTTCTCACAATAGTTTCGGTTGGGTGTACATAGGACCATCAGAATCTTGAGGGGATCCACCTGGGTCTACAAGATTCTATTGAGATCTGTTAAGGCCTACCAGAACTAATCAGGATCTTCGAGCGTCTTTCAGATCTACGAGGGTCTACCGGAGCCTACCAAGACCTACCAGGATGTACTAAGAGCGATGATGCCGAGGATCAGGATGGGGATGAAAAAACACATACACTTAAACGGTGCATCATTGACTGCGAGTGAGAACGTAAACACATAGAAATATAGAGTAGACTCTCGAGAATCCTGATACATCCTGATACTGAGCCGAGTGAAATCGTATATACATAATAAGAATATATAGATATTTTGAATTATTTTGTAATTCATCTCCGGCATGAAATCAATTAACGCAGTGAGTTGTTTTTAATCGCCTGATACTTTTATTATGCTGATGTCAGAGGTTCGTTAAACCTTCCACAGATGCGTGTGCGTGTATTTATGTAGCTCTTAAGAGAAACTGATAATGGTGATACATTTCTCAATTGAATTTTAAAAAAAAATTTATACGATAGAATCTCAGTCGATAACTTATTAGGATTGATCATTTTTTCGTAAATAAAAGTACAAAGTAGGAATAATACTTTCACTTTCCTTTTGTTTTGCGGAAGGAAAGGAAAGGAAAGAAAAGTTGCTTGCTTTTCTATTTTTTCCAAGAAAAATGTTTAGATTTTCCCTAGTCACCTTTTTCTTTTCGGGACAGAAAAATTGTTACACTCCACGCTCGTTCCATGTTGGAAGTTCTTGTGTATATATCATCTATTTATAAAATGAATTTTCGGAAGATTAGCACGCACAGAAATTCACAGACTGAGCCATTATTCTACTCAATCATGACTAGGAATGCATCGGTGACGGTTCACCGGTGGGACCGGTGTATCGATCACTTTTTTGTATTTCTGTGTCCGTCGTATGCGATACATCTTAGAAACTCGAGCACTTAATTTTCTGATAAGAAGTGATCTCTTGTCCTAATTAATTTTGGCAAATACTCATCAGAACTTTCGAGTAAAGCAGAGAATCAAGCCGGTAAGGTTATAAAAAGCCCTAATGGAGACCGGCGTATTAGTACCGCTAGATGCATTGAGTCTTATGTTGTTTGAGTAATGGTGGAAAACGGTCATCACCGTAGATTTTCGTAGTTCTAAATAGATAGAATTGATATTAACTAGGAATACAACGGTGGAGACCATTCACTTGTTAACCGTCATCGTTTCACCGTCCAAACCGATAACCATACCTACGGTTACTGGTACAACTACAATCATTGTACCTACGTTTTTCAATCTAATCACGATAACCGCACCAATGGTTACTGGTCAAACTAAGATCACTGAATCTACGATTACCGATCTAACTACCATCACCGTGAGTACGGTTATCAATCCAACTACGATACCCATAGCTACGCCTACCCGTCTAACTACTATCACTAAAGTTACGATTACCCGCTAGCTACGATTACCGTAGGTACAGTTATCGGTCGAACTACGATAAACATACCTACGGTTACCAGACCAACTACGATAACTGTATTGATGGTTACTAGCAAGATTATATAACCATACCTACGGTCACCAGTCTAACTACGATAAGCATGCCTACGGATACCGGTCTAAGTACGATAACTGTATCTACCGTTAGCAGCCAAACTACGAGTATCGTAGGTACGACTGATGGTCCTACTGCGATAACCGCACCTACAGTTACCGGCTCAACTACGATCGCCCTGGGTACAGTTATTAGGTCAAACCGGTTGTCGCGAAAACAGCATTTTTAAGAAAGTAATGATTTTTATAAGGGTTGACGGAGTAAACCCGGGCTGAAGAGTCTGAATTCGAAGTCAGGCTTTGAAAATTTTGAACTGAAGTTTTCAGATTAAGGAAATATTTACTATGAAAGTAACTATTTCCTTGAGAGGTTGACGAAAGGAAATGCAACTTGACGCATTAGACTCTAATACTTAGGAAAACTATAACATTCAGCAAGAAACATTTTCATTGATAATTGAAATGCAGAACTTTGAAAAATTGATATCAGATTAGAGTTCCTGGAAACCGATTTACTTTCGTCACTCTTTATTAAATATCAGTATCTTCTTAAAAACGCTTCCCTTAGCGTAAAAAATCAAGTTAAACATTTTCAAAATTTGACCACAGATTCAGATTTTCTGACCCTAATCATCTTTCGTCAGCCTTCATAGGAAATCGTTAGTGTCTTAGTTAACACTGTGCTTCACGAAAGCCTCCTGGAACTGAGAACTGTACCTATGGTTATCGTTATTGGCCAGGAAACCGTAGGTACGATTTTCTTAGTTGCACGAATAACCATACCCATGGTAAACGTAGTGAACCCGTAACCATATCTATGGTTATCGCCATCATTGCATCACTAATATTAATGACGATAGTCGAAGCTATGCTCCTTATTAGACGGCGCTATGACACATGACGCGTTTCTTTCATACCTGATTACCGCTATTCAGCTAAGAAAAGGGTCAGTGGAACCATGAAAACTTATGCCAATCTCCGATGTAACAACATCAGTGATTGATGCAAGCATGCAGGTATCTGAATAGTGATCAAACTCGACCATCTCAGTAGGCTCCTAATATTCTAACCTGCCATATTCGCCTTAACCTTG